TTAATATAGGGTTAAACTTAATAGCTCCTGTCAGTTGTAAACTGTTCTTCCTAGAGGTCCAGTAAAGATCATCTCTTATTGATCCAGTGTTATTACAGGAGGAAACCTAAATTAAACTAACTTTATTTAACTGGATAGCTCTATCAATTCTAAACTGTTCTTCCTAGAGGTCCAGTAAGGAATCATCTCTTGTTGATCCAGTGCTACTACAGGAGGAAACCTAACCTAAACTAACTTTATTTATACTGGATAGCTCTATCAGTTCTAAACTGTTCTTCCTAGAGGTTCAGTAAGGATCATCTCTTATTGATCCAGTGTTACTACAGGAGGAAACCTACAGGGTAAACTAAACTAAGTTTATTTATACTGGATAGCTCTATCTTTTCTAAACTGTTGTTCCTAGAGGTCCAGTAAGGATCATCTTTTATTCATCCAGTGTTACTACAGGAACAAACCTAAACTAAACTATTAACTCTTCTCCCTAGAGTAGAGCAGTTACCTTTCCTCCACTTGACGTGAGGGAGCCTCGTTGTGCAGCTATGTCTTCTACTGGTTTCTTTCCTACATTCTCTTTGGATTCATCTACCATACATGTAGTGATAAATTAAAATCAATTTGTTAGGCTCTATCAGTTCTAAATTGTTCTCCCTAGAGCTCGAGTACTTTAAGGGGCACCTTGATTGATCCAGTGTTACCACAAGCAGCAGTATCTTGCCGAATCAAACTTTAAACAATCTTCTCAAACGGAATTGTGCCAAAACTCAATGGCCAAAACTGTAATCAAACAACTGCACACCACAAGAATGAAATCCCAGTAACGAAAGACACACGCACGCCTAACTACTTTGCCAGCAACATTATTTATAAAAAATTCAACCAATTAGCCTTCCTCACGCCGCCATTTTTGGGTGGCATTTCAGCCGAAGTCTGCGAGATAAGTCCACATAACAGCGACTTTTTATAATTTTTGGACAAATGATGGTAAATTTGCGTTGTAAATGGTTAGTTTATTTTGAAATATTGCTTTTCACATTGTTTTAACTGTCTGCATTGGTTAACGAGGATTGGATGCTACCCAAAAATGGCGGATATTCGTCATCGTGAAAAAGGCTAACTCCATACCATCAACAATTCCATTTTCTCGGGGTGTCATCTGTTTATTTAACTGAACTTGTTGCTTCAACAGTTGTTCATCGTGTTTCTTCAGTTTTTCTAAGACATCTTTTAGTTGTTCACTGAGATTTAAGTTCTCTTGTTCGAGTTCCTTGATGTGGTCTCGTAAACTGTCACTTTCCTTTGTCCGTTCAGCGAATATTTCATTGTCTGTTGCCAAGTCGTTTTTGTACTGAGAAAGAACAAACGTTTAGAATGGCACACCTAACATCATATAGCACACCACGTGTAATGCATTAGTGCCATACTATTCAATAACATAACATAACATACCACACAATTCTATACTCTACCATACTATACTATACCATACTATACCATACTATACCATACTATACCATACTATACCATACCATACTATAGTATAGTATACTATACCATGCTATACCATACTATACCATACTATACCATACCATGTCATACCATACGATACTACAGTATACCATACCATACCATACCATACCATACCATACCATACCATACTATACCATACCATACTATACACCATACTGCACCACAACATATAACACCATATCACACCATACCACAGCATACTGTACATACCATTCCAAACCGTATCACACCACACCACAGAATACCATTCCAAACCAAAATGAATATTAATGAAACAAACCAAGAAAGAAACAAACTAGCAACATACCTTCTCAACTTCCTTTCTCAATTCCTCGATAATTTCATTCTGATGTTTCTGAGCTGAGTTTGGTCGTGATATTTTCTGTCCTTTTTTGAATTTCTCAACACGTTTTTTAAGATGCTCATATTGATGTGCCAGTGTTCTGTTCATACCGTTCGCCTTGTATACATCGTTTAACAACGTTGTTGCTTCGTCCAGTAAGCTCCGCACTATGTCAAGGTCGTGCTGTGTTCTGAAATGAAACGTTAACGCAATCAGAGAGTACGTAATCAGCTTGCTTCGCAAAGAACTGATAAAGCTATATCCAGTATAAATAAAGGTTTCCTCCTGTAGTAACACTGTGTCAATAACAGATGATCCTTACTGGATCATTAGTTTAGAAATGATAGAGCTATCCAGTATACATAAAGTTAGTTTAGTTTAGGTTTCCTCCTGTAGTAATACTGGATCAATAAGAGATGATCCTTACTGGACCTCTAGGGAGAACAGTTTAGACCTGATAGAGCTATCCAGTATAAATAAAGTTAGTTTAGTTTAGGTTTTCTCCTGTAGTAACACTGGATCAATAAGAGATGATCCTTACTGGATCTCTAGGAAGAACAATTTAGAACTGATAGAGCTATCCAGTATAAATAAAGTTAGTTTAGTTTAAGTTTCCTCTTGTAGTAAAACTGGACCAATAAGAGATGATCCTTACTGGACCAGTATTTATACAGCTACCGGTAGTTTAATTTAGGTTTACTTCAACAAAGGAACTAACCGCTCCAATTCCTCCATGGTTTCCTTATTTCTAACACCATCGCCAACATCACTCACTGAATCTAACGTTTTTGCTCGAGTTCTCTGGAGTTCTTCACGTAATGCCTGCAGAAGAAAACTTGATAATTAACGATAATTCAGGTCTAAAATTAAGGCTTTAAATTCAGGTGTCAAATTCCGATGTAAAATTCAGGTGTTAAAATTCAGGTGTTAAAATTCAGGTGTAGATTTCAGGTGTAAAATTCAGGTGGAAAATTCAGGTGGAAAATTCAGATGGAAAATTCAGGTGGAAAATTCAGGTGTAAAATTCAGATGGAAAATTCAGATGGAAAATTTAGATGGAAAATTCAGGTGTAAAATTCAGATGGAAAATTCAGATGGAAAATTCGGGTGTAAAATTCAGGTGCAATATTCAGGTGTAAAATTCAGGTGTAAAATTCAAGTGTTAAATTCAGGCTTTAAATGGACCTATTAATAACCTAGTAAACAAAATTTTTATCTACGCAGGTCTAGACAAAAATTTCATCACGGCTTGAAAGAGCATCACAAAATTAGTAATATTCCGAGGTTTCGTTGCAAAATGTTGTAAAATGCGGATAATATAGCGCTGCGAAATTTGCCGTTTTCCAGTCATTTTGTATTACGCACGGGAAATTGATACCTTTTCAGAAAGCGGGGCATGCTAACAAAAGCCATTTATAAAAAAGCAAATGGTCTGGCAAGGGGGAATAAATTGAAATTTTATGATTTTCGTACCGGTCTCATGTAAACATGTTGACAATTTCAATTTTCATTCCGGCTTGACTTCTCATGTAAACGGGGCCTTTAATATTAAGAGGAGTTTTTCTTCTATGTTACGTAACACGCGCTCAAAACTATTGCGTATAATATACCACTTGAGGTTATGACTAAATTCAAAATTTTTATTTTTCAATACGTTTCTCAATCGGCAAACAAACTTAAAAAGTATGTTTAGTGCTTTATCTGTAAAATAATACTAAAATGAAAAGATTTTAGATGATACGCCAAAGAGAAAATGATGTCTGAAGTTCAGTAAGTTTTGCTTATATGACTGTAAACATGGCGTCAATTTTAAAGCATCATTGATAATTATATTTTAGTTGACAATTTTTGACTATTATTTTATGTTTCTCAACCGGCAGATGCATTTAAAAAGGCGGCTAACTGTATTCACTAGAGAATAAAAATAAAACAAAGTAATTTTGAAAGGAACGCAAAAAGATTTTAGGTTTTGAACACTTTTCATGGCAAATACGTGACATTGAAAAAAATTGCCTCTTAAATGTATAAGTACCGACCTGAATTTCATCTTGCATCTCTGCCAACTTGGCTGCTTGTGGATCTCGGTTGACTATGGGCTTGTTCTTGATGTGCCGTGCCTAAATTACAGCAAGACATGGTGTTTATAGCAAGCAGTTATCAGTAGATGTTAGGTCTTGGTGTGCCGTGCCTAAATTACAGCAAGACATCGTGTTTGTAGCAAGCAGTTTTTTGTAGATGTTAGGTCTGAATAATGCACCCAAGGTAAGTACATATGTTATGGTAAATAATGATATGGTATGATGTGGTATTGTGTGATATAGTATGGTGTGGTATGTATAGTGTGGCTGGTATGGTATTGATAGTATTGGTATGGTGTGGGTAGTAAGGTATGGTGTTGTGTGTTATGGTATTGTCAACTGGTATGGTATGGTATGGTATGGTATGGTATGGTATGGTATGGTGTGGTGTGGTATGGTATGGTATGGTATGGTATGGTGTGGTATGGTATGGTATGGTGTGGTATGGAGTGGTATGGTATGGTGTGGTTGGTATGGCATGGTGTGGTATGGTATTGATGGGTATTGGTATGGTCCGGCTGGTATGGTATGGTATGGCGTGGTTGGCATGGCATGGTGTGGTATGGTATTGATGGGTATTGGTATGGTCTGGCTGGTATGGTATGGTATGGTATGGTATGGTATGGTATGGTATGATTACTATATGATATGGCTAATTATGGTATGATATCATAACTTACCCTGGTAGCGTATTTTAGTGAGTTCAGGTTCTCAGCCAGATCAGCCGCCGCAGGACTAAGGCATGTTAGCATGACAGTTCTAGCATTACCACCCAGCGAGTCTTTGAGAATTCTTGTAATTTTGCTATCCCTGTATGGTATATGACCTGCCTGGAGACGAAAGTAAAAACATTAAATAAGTACGCCAGTATCATAGTTCAAAACCAACTAGTTTGAAAACCAGTTTCAGAAAAAAATAATCCACCTTTTTTTTGCTGTCAGACAAAGCGCTGATGACATTTCCCAAAGCCAACAACCCACTGTTGATATGAACAGATTCCTTAAACCTCTCTCCGACATTGCCAGTACGATGCGCTCTTTCTGACCCGGCAAGATCGACGAAATGAAACTTCGCTGACATAAACTGGGAAAACTCTGAAAAGAGATGAGCATTGCGGTTGTTTTAATAATTGACGAGTGGACATTGTTGTGTGGATGGGGACGAAGTCCCAGGCTTTCTGGCATCCTTGTGTAGAAAAGGAGGACAAAAGTAGGACTAGAATTTTAGGAAAAGTAGGAATAAAGTAGGAAAATGTGTAGAAAAGTAGGACAAAAGTCGGAGTTTTGGAGATGCAAATAACACAAAAATATACAAAATTGGCCCCCTAGGATATATGTGGTAAGGGGTGGACCATTAGATATCTGATGGGGAAGTTGTGTGAATTTTTGGTGCTCAATATTTTTTTGTACTCATTCATCTATGCAGGATTTTTTTTCAGGCATCGGTATTTAAGCTAAGGCATCTGCTCTGCAGCAACACAATTCAAATGCATGTATTGGGCTACACAATGCACCAATCCACACTGCGGCAGGAGCATATATACTGTATGATGCTTGATTAACTGAGGGGGGGGAGGGGGGAGTTGAATATTTGGAATCTCTAGATCGTCGGAAATGGCACTTTCAGAGTCTTCATTAATTTATTGATTATGATTCTAGAGATGCTATGAAATTTTATACTCGGAAAATGTACTTCTTCTTCTCCTGAGATCTTATCATCTGCGACACAAATAGGGAATAAAAATTACGAGTCCTATAGATCTAATTACGAGAGCTATAACATACTGATTCCCCAAGCTGTCTTAAAAAAGTAGGATTTTATGAGAAAAAGTAGGAAAAAGTAGGAAAATCAAGCAATTTTTAATAAAAAATAGGAAAAGTAGGAAAGTTGAAGAAAAGTAGGAAAAAGTAGGAAAAGTAGGATGGCAAGAAAGCCT